AATAATATGAGGTACTAGAAGGGAAGGGCAAAGGGGACTTATTTTTTTGCTGTTCGTCAGTGCTGCTCCAGCAGTGGCAGTGGACTCCAGCTTCCAAATTTCTTCAACTCTTCGAGAACTAGTCTCACTGGGCCCTTTCAGAGTACCAGCAGCCAGCTGGGAGGTGTTTCTTTCTCAAAGGTGTGAACACCAGGTCTGCAGGGTCCACTCTCCCCCACATCCTGAGCTCCTATATTGCAGCAACCAAAACGCTTCCCTTTCGTTTCCCAGCTTTAAAGGTGGTAGCCACTTCCTGAAGTTATCATCTTTGCGTCCACACCTGTCTAACCAATTCCCTATACTGCATCCCCTCTGTTGAAATACCTACTGTGGTTTCTGTTTTCTTAACTGGACCCCAATTAATACACCCAGTATAATCTACATTTGTCTAGGATAAACTGAGCAGGGAATGGGGTTTTCATACTGATCCTGGGATTCAGGAAAGCCCCTGGTCAGTCAGTCTAACCTGCAGTGAAAAACAGACACTCAAGGGGCTGGCCCCGTGGCTGAGTGGTTAAAGTTGCGCGCCCTTGGCTTTGGCGGTCCAAGTTTACAGGTTTGGATCCCAGGCATGGACCAACTCATCAGCCATGCTGTGGTGGCATCCCACATGCTAAAAACATAGGAAGATTGGCACAGATGTTAGCTCAGGGCTAATCTTCCTCATGGAAAAACAAAAGAGGAAGATTGGCAATGGATGTTAGCTCAGGGTTAATTTTCCTCACACAAAAAAACAAAAATCAGACATTCAACCTTCTCACGGGTCTTAAGAAATGGAGTGATAGAAAAGATGGACAGACTCAGTTTATGATCCCTAACTGAGAGACAGCCTTCTGAACTGAACCAGTCTCAGGGATAGAGCCTAACTGGGGCAGCCTGGGACCACAAAAGCCACATTGGAGAGAAATGTAAATAAAATGTAAAGTAAGAGGAAGGGTCCCCTCGGTTGAACTCAGGGTCTATATTACACCAAGTCCTGCCAAAACAAGGCAAAATATTCTGGGGGAAAAAAATCAGACTTGAAATTTAAAATGGTGATTTCTTATTATTTATATACAGGAATAAGAAATGGGTAAACACAGAGTAGTGGCTCAACTCCCAGTCTTTTAATATTTCAGTTTTTAGTGTTTTCCACACCTTTATGCATACCAAATGTGTAGAAGTAGTATAGGAATTTGAGGAAACCACAAAGTATTTCTGAGAATTCATTTCCTCTGAGGCCAAAGATTTTTGTGACCTGGGAGCTGTGACACAGTGGAACTTATGGGCAGGGGTCTCCTGTGACACAGGGAGCTGTGGTTACATCTGGCAGGGCAGAGATAAGTGGAGTCTTAACTGGTAGATAGAAGATAATTGCAATTTATTGAATGCCACATATGGGGACTTACAGGGGCACAAAGTCACTGGATGAAGTGAGACTCTTCCAAAGTGGGACCGGTGGAGCAGTGAGGTGAATGGCCAAGGGAAGGAACTGTCACCTATTAAGGTTCTCTTTTGAGTCAGGGCCTGTGCCAGGTGTTCTATGTATATTACTTACCTTAACTCTTGACAGCAACTTTGTTGCTTACACTATGACTCCCATTTACAAATTAAGAAAGCGAGGTAATGAAACTTAAGTAGCTCACACAGGTAAAGACCAAATTAAGAAGGGAATTCTCTTTCTTCCCTCCTGCACTATATGGCCTTGTTTTTTGGGGTTTTGTGTGTGTGTGTGAGGAAGATTGTTGCTAACATCTCTGCCAATCTTCCCCTATTTTGTATGTGGGACACCACCACAGTATGGCTTGATGAGCGGTGGGTAGGTCTGCGCCCAGGATCCGAACCCACAAACCCTGGGCTACCAAAGCAGAATGCGGGAACTTAACTACAATGCTATCGGGCTGGCCCCTACATGGCCTTGTTTTGATGTTCCAAAACTCATGCACAAATTATCAGTCCCCTAGTTCAATTTCTCATGGATTTAATTATTTGTGAACTAAGGAATCTAAAAGCCATTTAAAATCATTCTTAGCTCATACGCCCTACAAAAATAGGCGGCATGCAGATTTGGCCTCTGGGATGTAGTCTGCAGACCCCCATGCTAGGGCTTTCGATTGAGGCCCTGGTGTGTTCAACAGGCTTCCTTCTCCTGGTAAGTCATGAACCGTATTCTTTCATCTCATCAGCAGTGTGAGCCTGATGACAACTCCTCTCTGCTTTTCAGAGGTTTTCAGCCTTTTAGTCTCTGCCATGAGCAGTTTCAAGAAACTGCAATTATCTTGATGGGAAAACCAGCTTTGTGTTTGATGACCCTCAAGTCTCCAATATTGCCACTCCAGCTTCATGAGATGGACTAGGGCTCTGCCAGTTTTTCTGTTCACAGGCAGCAGCCTTGACGCTCATCCTGCATTTAAAAACAGGCACATGCTAGGGGGCTGGCCCGGTGGCGCAGCAGATAAGTGTACACGTTCCGCTTTGGTGGCCCAGGGTTTGCTAGTTCAGATCCCAGGTGTGGACACGGCACCACTTGGCAGGCCATGCTATGGTAGGCATCCCACATATAAAATAGAGGAAGATGGGCATGGATGTTAGCTCAGGGCCAGTCTTCCACAGCAAAAAGAGGAGGATTGGGAGCGATGTTAGCTCAGGGCTAATCGTCCTAAAAAAAAAACCACACACACACAAAAACACAAAAACCAAAAACAGGCACATGCTACCAGCGAAAAAGTGGTTGCAAACATCAGCTCACCTCTTACATCTTGTCTCTCTAGAATCTTAGCCTCTAATTTTGTCCTCACTGTTTCACCAGCTTTCTGGTGCGGTTAAGTAGACAATTTAACATTTTTATCTGGCTTTTCTCATTGTTCTCAGCAGGACTGTAGGTCTACTGAAAAGCTACCTGAAAAGTGTAAGTTTTGCTTTTCCGATAATTTAAAAATAGTACATTAAAGCTAAATAAATTCAAATTCACTCCCAACGCTATTTCCAAAAGTTCACAATGCTATTTTTTTTTCACGCTGAAAAAAACCTTCCCGAATCTTCATTCTTAAAATTTAAAGGCAAAAAGGAACCATCTTGAGTGGCACAGGCTGAGATGCATAAGCTTCCTTCATCTTGCAATACTTTAACATCTAAATTTTGACTAGATATGTTCAATATGATTGAAAATTCAAAAAGTATAAAAGAACATACAGTGAAAAGTCATTCTTCCACTCCTATCTCCCAGCCACCCAGCTTCTCTCCCTGCTGGCAACATTTATTGTTTCTCCAAGATATTTTAAGCAAAGACACACATGTATTTCTCTTTTTTGGACAAACGGTTGCATCTGCATCACGCATTTTTTATTTAACTCTATATCTTATGGTTCTTGTCATATCAGCAAAGTGGGTTTTCTGTTTAACTGCTGATTAGTATCCCGTTGGACCATCATTTATTGTCTATTGATGTGACATTAAGATTGTTTTTAACCTTGTTATTACAAAGAATGCCATATAAAAATGCTTTGTACATGTCATTCTACACACATGTGGAAACAGCTTTAAGAAATTCCTAGAGGTAGAATTGCCAAGTTTACTTCCATCAGGATTTTTCATTTTCTTTCTTTTAGATTTTATTTTATTTTTCCTTTTTCTCCCCAAAGCCTCCAGGGCACATAGTTGTATATGTTTAGTTGTGGGCCCTTCTAGTTGTGGCATGTGGGATGCCGCCTCAGCATGGCTTGACGAGCGGTGCCACGTCCATGCCCAGGATCCGAACTGGCAAAACCCCAGACCGCCAAAGTAGAGCTTGTGAATTTAACCACTCTGCCACGGGGCCGGCCCCAGGATTTTTCATTTTCTATTCATACCAAGCAACATATCAGAGTGTCTACTGCCCCATATTCTTGCCAAGATGAAAAGTAACACACGTACATACACCAAAAAAAGTGCACCTCTATCTTTCCTAATCTGAAGGGTGGAAAAATGCCTCAGCATTAGTATAAGTGATATTATGCATCTTTTTACAGATTTGAGCCATTTGTATTTCCTTTCCTGGGAACTATGTTTCTTGGGAACAAACACTTTTCTACTTTTCCTTTTGGGTCGTCAGTCTTTCTCTTAGTGCACTGGCAGCTACTTTATATAACGGAAGTTAGCTCCTTGTGATGAGCTGCGTCTCTTTCTTTCCCAGTTTGCCATGTCTTCCAATTTTCCTTTATGGTAGTTTTTATCATGCAGAATTTTTTATTTTTATGTAGTTACTTTTTATTTTTTAATTGTGGTAAAATATACATAATAGCCCATTTTTATTTTTAATAAGTGTTTTAATTTTCAGATTCTCGACCTCTGCAGTTTTAGTGCTCCTTGAGAAACTGAACACTCTCATACCCCCTCCACAGAAATGAAAGGAGAAAGCAGCAATGCCTTCTAATTACTGACACAAAACATTTAACAGTCTCTAACAAAAAGGCATACGTGGTGGGACTACCAGAAAGACTAGCAGAGAAATTAAAATTGATCTTAAAACCAACTCGAGTCAGGAAGACTTCTTCACAGACAAATACATGGTTAAATATCTGTGGTTAAATCCTAAATGCATCACACTCCCCCCCCTCCCCCTTTTTGGTCGTGGACTATTCCAGGAAGATTTAATTACGCAAATATTAATTTGAGGAGTTACAATGTCTACTCTAAAATGTAAAGTGAAATTGCTCTTAGAAGAATATTGGTTTGAGGAGAAGACCGATTTTAGTCTATTTTGGACAAATTTGGTTAGTTCCTGACTACATTTCAGCACAATCACTACTCAGAGGGCAATCACCTTTTTTTGGAGAAAGGACAAACAAAATTCTTATATTAGCACTGGAATTCTACCCATAATTACCCAATCAATACTGAAGTAGATGCCATCAAGTATGCACAGATTAACAGAATTTCAGTTACAAAATCTGGAGGAAAAACATCTTAATAATGTATAAAAAATTGACAAATTTAAGCTAGAATTAGCTTTAGGACATTTTATTATATTTTTACTTTAAAAGGATAAGGACCAGGACATCAACAGAAATGCTGTTAAAACTGTTGGTTGTTTGCTCAAAGTTGTTCATATTAATGAAACAAAAGATTAATAGTCTCGAAGTTAAATTTCACAAAACGAAATCACTGCCTTCTGATTTAACTTTCAGGGGTAAGAGAGGGCAAAATCCAAGTATCATACTTTGTATTTCTGTCCATAAATACAAATAAAAAGTCAGGATCAATACAAATGATAATATGAGGAAATAAACACATGGTTACGTCTCAGGTTGCACAACAGAGGATACTGTGATATAACTCTCCTACAGTAAATTCCCATTGTTTTCCTGGAATAGCAGATTAATAGAAATGTGAATTTCCAAAATTTCAGGTAATTTAGTAACTAATCTTGATTTTGACACCAGATACTATGGTGTGAAAAACCGTAAAGCCCAAATGCTTCCTGTGTCATTTAGCAAAGACAGGAGGAGGGCGAATGCTCTGCCAAACTACCCCTGCGACTCCATCCTGGCCCCAGTTTCTGAGGAACCACTGGGTTCCAGTGCTTCCATACTGCCAATCCATCCCACCCAACCTCAGCCCAACTCTCAACTCCTTTTACATCAAGAGCCTAGTTTCCTTTCTGTCAACTAATGCCTAGTTTTCCAGAAAACTCTGATATTTCTGATTTCACATTGATCCTAACCCATTTTAAATGAAAGAAAATGCTATAATGCTTAAAATAACTAAAGTGGAGGTGGAAACTTTAGTGTTATGGAAGATGCATTTCAAGTGCTCTGCAAATATATGGGAAAGCAAGAAAACTTAGATTTTAAACCCTGCCTGGACTCCTTAACTACTTGATATAGTATAATCTTGCTTTGATTACTAGTCACGACAAAAAGGTGAGCAAAGGCCATAAAACATGCACTTTTGGGAAAGATTCAGAATGGCACCTGAAGATTTCTTGGGTTGGCCAAGGCATTTTTATATCCATAAGGATTAGCAAACCTAGTATATCACAGTTATTTTTTTTAAAAAAAAGGTTTGGGACCCTTGCTTACCACTGAGTTTGGCAGAAACACATTTCTATATTCCTCCCTTGGAATCACACAATCCTTTAATTAAGGACAATGAGTGTGCCCACAGTGCAGAATTAACGAAAAAATTTTAAAGATTCTAAGATGGAAGAGAGAGCTTCACAATCCAGCTTACTAATTACAAAGCACTCCCTTTATCCAAGCATTACTTTGTGTATCTCTGAAACATCTGAAAAATACTTTTCTGTGACTTGCTAGGCTGTCGGGAATGAGTGCTTTTAGATACATTACAATTATCTCTAGCAGAATTCGGCACCTTTCTTCCATTAACATTAACTGAATGTTTCAACTGGATCTTTAAAGCAGGTTGCCAATTTTCATTTTTTGAGCCTCTCCGAGGTTTTAAATGTTCTCTATCAGTTTGTCTTTTTAAGTTCCTGTCTTTGGAATTCTTCTTCTGTCCATTTAGCAATCTGTCTGGCGGTGAGGACGCAGCACGTAACTGATACTCATCTGGGGAGCCTTTCTGCCGGTTTGGCTTCATTTGTTCTTTATCCACCTCTTTCTGAAGCTGTAATGCTAATAACCTGTCCTCTTCTTCTTGTTTATGTCTCTCAAAAAGTAGATGTTCCAAATCTATCAGTTTTTGCGTAAAATTGGTTTCTGTTTCCTCTTGGTCTAAGGAACCTTTGGGGAACATTTTCCTTCTTTTTGCAGAAAAGCAGGGATCCTTGACTGTTTCAAATGAGGACTCCTGGTTTTTTCTTTTGGAAATATCTTTATTGATCAGTAGGTGAGACTCTTCATTTTCTGTCTCAACTGTGTTATTTCCAAGTGTCTGTGTCGTATCTGACACAGTGCACCCATTCTCTGTTTTGCCACTAGGCTTGTCTGCAGCTTCTCCAGAGCAGGGAGCTCTGGCGTCAGGTTCCTCATGATTTGTGACACATAACTCTTTATCATGATTGCTTGGGCTGGTTATGACCTTTCCTTCAAGACACCGTTCCGTTCCATTAGCACATAACTGAGGCATAGGTGACTCTACTGAAGACTGTGTACCTTGGTCTTGAATTTCAAGACATACTTGCGGAGAAAGCGTTGGCATGTCCTCCTCAATTTCTGTGTCTTGCCACGTAGGGCTCTTTACATCACTACTGTCAGTTTCCTGTAGAAAATAGAAAAAGACTGAGTGAAACAGAGGAAACTATCAAGTCATAATATATGTCTAATTACAATGATACCAAAGCAGAATGATTATAAGGTAGTTATTATTACTACTAATAAGGTATATTAATTCTTAATAGTATTTTTATTATTTGTGCCAATTTAGATTAAGGCATTCCTTCACTTTCACTCCCATAAAAACCTACAGATTAAAACCCAAAAGCCAGATCCTATATCTGGCCAATAGCTGCCACCATGACCTGACCTCTCTTTGACCTTATAAACTTCCTCCAGCCCATATAAACCCCACTTTCCCCTTTAATCCTTATGTCCTCCTTTAGGCATTTTGGTGAAGCTTACAGACCTCCTCTGAGAACATTATTTTTAAATATAAAAATAAACACATAGCATTATAAAGTGAACGATTTATATTGCAACACAATTATTAAAATGTTAAAATTTGCGATGTAGTAATGTATATCTATTAATATATTAAATAATCAGATCTAGTGGCAAGTCTAATAACTTGCAATATTGAAGCAAGGATGAATATAAATGATATTTCAAGAGATCTGCAACAAATGTAACGTGATGAAACCTGTGCTTTCTACTGATGTCGAAGTCACAGGAACTGTTAACAGTATTATGCTTTGCTGTCTACATTCATAATTAAAGGAATTAGGTGAAAGTAAAGATAAACTTTTTCTTCTACCTAAATTTATATATATTCCCTGGATTCTAACCACAGACCTGAGGTTAAGAACCCCTGCTTTAGCCAGTATAATTCTTCTTCTCACCTACGGTGAAGACCTAGGGTTAGTTTTGACCATGGGAAAAACTTAAGAAGAAAGGCTTCAATGAGAATTTGACTCAAAACAAAAATTACTCCTTCTTGTTGGAGACCTTAAATCTGTTCTTTTATCTACTTTGCATTTATCATTCATGATAGCATTTCTTATGAATCAATATGGTTTGGATTGGAAAAATTCTAGGTTGCTTACCTAGTTTTGCTGTGAATATGAACACCAGGGCTGGAAAAATATCCCAGCCCTACAATGCTTCTTCCATCAATCCTCTCAGTTCCAGTAGGAGCTAGACTTTCGGGACTTGCTTCCTCCCTCTATTACCTATACTTGAGGGACTTTGGGCAAGTCTCTCGTCTCTGTGTGCCTCAGTTTTCTCAACTGTAAAATGGGCACAAGAAGGATACCTACCGTGTAGAGTTGGCGGTTGCCATGAAGAGCAAAGGGAATACATATATTATCTGGCACATGGTAAATGTCTATCAAACGTTAGGTGCTATAAAACCACCTAGCTGAATTGAAAAAATTTCAGGAACTTGGGGGTAGAAAGTTAACAAAACATCTATGTAGGAAATCAACCCTTTGTGTCAGTTTACCTTTCTTAGTTCTATTTTCCTGGAAACCTGATAAAGGTGCAATGTCACCTATGTTACTAGGCCATATAGCTTCTGGTAAAAATTACTCTTATTAGCGAAATGCATCTGCACTAGGAGAACTATGAGTGATCTATAAACACCTAGCAGGAAGCCAAAGCTTGGGGCTTCTGTAAGTGACTTCCAACTCTTTTGACTAGATGTGTTCCTTACCAGGACCCCTGGAAGCTGCACTCATGGGTTGTTACAATAAACAATTGACTCTATGGGGCATGGGGCTTCTAAGCTAGGGTGGTTACCACATTCATTTGCATGGTCTCATTTCCAGGCTGTCACTCAGGAGTTCTGCAGTGCAAACACTTGCTGAGCAGATATCCCTGATGCTGCCCTACCAGCATGCTTTGTTTCCCATCCTATACTCTTTTAAGTGAAGCTGGTAGCGGGGGCAGCCTATTCAGTTTTGTGAGTTTGATTATCCAGGTCAGGGATCCACAAACTATGGCCCATGGACCAAACTGAGCCTGCACTTGTTTTTGTAAATTGTTTTACGGGAAAAAGACCAGCTCATCTGTTTACATACTGTCTATGGATACTTTCACACGACAATGGCGTAGCTGAATAGCTGTGGCTGCCGTATGGCCCCCAAAGCCTAAAATATTTACTATCTGGCCTTTACTCCTAGTCTAGTTGAGCCTAAGATGACTAAGAAAGTGTTCCATTTACTACTGTGACTTAAAAAAAAGTTAGGAAACTATAAGTATAAACAATCTATTTATAGTATTAGTAAACGTGCCAAACTAAGAACATCCCTAACATCTACATACCTTAGATATGGAGTTTCTCCTGCCTTCTTGTACAACTTCAGACTGTGATGCTGACCCAAATTGAGATTTAGGTGACAAATACCTTAAAAAAGAAATAGTTTACCAAACTTTAAGTGCTTTGAAAGACAAGTGGTATGTACCCAATATGATAAAGCCAGATTAGCTATTTATGCCAAAGGTGGTCTGGTTTGCTGCTTGGCTTATTTATCAGAAAGAGTATGTTCCATCTCCTTGTCTCAGGTATTTTGGTCAGAGCAAAACTTAAGAGGCTAAGTATTGATAATGTAGTGAAAAACAGTAGAAAAGGAAGCAAAAGACAAATCTAAACACTTCTTAATTCTCAAAAGAAATTTAAAAGGTAGATCGCATCAAAACAATGAAAGACTGTACAGTATTCCCAAAAGTAATGGAAATGACATTTTAAATCAGGAAAAAGGATATGTTAGTTTCTATTTAATCATAGAAATTCTACATTTTTTATCTCTACTATTGGGAAAGGGTCCATGATTAGATTCTTTACCATTCTGGAATAGACATTTTGTTATACACACATTTTACATCAACTATCTGCTTAGACACAGAGAGATATATCAACATATCAGCATTAAGAGCATATCTCTAAATTTCTAAGCAACTTTAAAAGGCTGTTGGCCATGAAAATATGAAGTTTGTAATATAATGGAAAATCCTGTAAAAGAAATGAGAATAAAAGGACAGGTTATGAGACAATAAAAATATTTTTAAAACTATAAAAAAATTGAAACATACACACAACTATGCTTAAAAATGGCAGAAATCTCCCAAAATGTTGGCTGTCTTCAAATGGTGATAACTAGGTGATTTTCAAAGATCACCCAGCTTTTATTTTTAAAATTAAAGAAAAAAAATCTTTGATCACAAATAATATGAAAAACCATAAGTTCCACTGTGTCCCAAAGCACCTACGAGCAGCATATGGTGTGATAAAATAAAATCTAGACAAAGATCTTACATAAAGAACAAATGAATATCCCTCATAGATTAGAGTATCTAGACCACATATTTAGTTGCATCAACCTAAATACTCTGCAAACTTAACAAGAACCACCTTCTCAGTTGATAAGAGAAAACAGGAGTCCAGGGTTAGTCTCATTAATTTGGTTTCCCAGAGCTGAAGAATCCCTTCTGGCAATGCTGGATATGAGTTCCCAAGTATATTTGTAACGAGATAGAATCAGTGCAGATTCAGGAACTCTCCTGGATATTCTTTATTTATAGTAACCAAGTACTGTATGAACACACGCTCATTATAAAAAAATTAATAGAAATGTAGGAAATATATGTCATCATTCCTATCTGCCTCCCCACAAGTAACCAACTTTTTTTAAAAATATGATTTTTATATAGTACACACTGTTTTTTAAAGCAATCGTATTCTTCTGTCGTTTCCTTTTGTTATTTACGTCTTAAAGATCTTTCTGAGAGAGCATATATAGGTCTACTTCATGAAAACAAATAGTTTACAAGAGGATAGTTACAAAATACACGTAAGAATCACAATACATCCTGGTTACAGGGCAGGGGATACAACTGGGAAAGGGCACAAGTGAACCTTTGGAAATATTCTCTATCTTAATCTGGAGCGTGGTTTATACGTATGTAAAAATTCACCAAAAAGCACACCTAAGATTACTGCACTTTAATGTATGTATGGTATACTTAAGGGGAAAAAAAAATCATTGATTTTAAAATCCCTTTTGGGGCCTCTTCTTTGTCCCCTACCTCAGAGACAAACACTATCTTTAGTTTCTTATTTCTTGCTTTTAAAAAGTTTTACCACACGTTTGTATCCCTAAACACTGTATTCCTTAGCGCTGCATGATTCTAAACTTCATGTATATGGAATCACACTACATGTATTCTTCTACAACTTCTTTCCTTCACTCAACATTTTCCTGAATCACACATGCTCTTCTTAGCTAGAATTCACTTTCACTGCTGGACAGTATTCTGTTCTACGGCTGGCCATGTAGGTGCTTCCGGCTCTTTGCTGTTACGAATAGTACTGCTGGGAACATTCCTGTACATGTCTTCCAAGTTTTTTTTAATGTCCACACTCAAGAGTCACAACGGATCAACCGTTTCCACTCCCACCAAATGTGTAAGTGCCTCTTATCCTCTACAACACTTCATATTCCACAAAGTTTAATTTTTCCAATAGGAGGAGTATAAAATGTTACCTCACTGTAATTTTAATTTGCATCTCCCTGACTCTCAATAAGATTCAATATCTTTTCATAGGTGTTAGCTTTCAGGTTTTAATTTCTGGGAAGTCAAAGTTTTTTGCCTATTTTTATACCGATCTTTTTCTCACTCATAGGTAGCCATTCTCTCATAGTAATTTTTTTTCAGTTAAATAAGTTAAAATATCTTCTTGAAGAGTAAGACTTATCTTTTTATTCTCTAAAGGTGTTTTGACAAAGACATTCTTAACCTTATTATAGTCTAATTATGTTTTGTTCTTTAAAACATCCCTCTCTAAAGATATTCTCTTTCATTATCTTCTTAAAAGTTTTACGGTTTTGTCTTTTTAATACAGATCTTTAATTCACCTTAATTTTTATATATAGTATGAGTAGAGGTGCAAGCTCACTTTTCCCCATATAATCAATTGTCCTAGCAGCATTTATTAAGTTCATCCTTTTCCCACTGATCTCCAATGACAACTACTGTATTAGTTACCCAAAGTACCCCAACACTTATCTCTCACAGTTTCTGAGGGTCAGGAATCCAAGAGCAGCTTAGCTGGGTGATTCTGGCTCAGGATCTCTCATGAGAGTCCAGTCAAGATGTTGGTCAGTCATCTGAAGGCTTGACTGGGGCTAGAGGATTGCCTTCTAATAAGGCTCACTCACAAAGGCTATCCTGGAGGTCTCATTTCATTACTGGCTGTTGACAGAAGGCCTCAGTTCCTTACCAGCTGTTGGTAGAAGGCCTCAGTTCCTTACCATGTGGGCCTCTCCATAGGGCTGCTCAAACATGGCAGCTAACCCTCCCAGAGCAAGCAATACAAAAGAGAAAATCACAGTGCCTTTCAGGACTTAGTCTCTGAAGTGTATAACGTCCCTTCTGGTCATTCTATTTGTATACTTAAGTCCAGCCTACATTCAAGGGGAGGGGACTTGGGCTCTGTCTTTTTAAGGAAGAAATATCAAAGAATTTGTGGACACATTTTTAAAACACCAAAGCTCTCAAAGGCTCCATAAACTGTGTTTGTGCTTCTAAACTACCTATCACGTTGCCTCAATCATTTTGCCTACCCATCCCTGTGCAAATACCACATGTGTTTACTTACTATAAATCTAAAGCATCCATCCCTGGACCATGCCTTTTATTTTTCTTCAGGACTATCTGCAGGCCCTTTCTCTTCCACTTAAATTTTAAAATCAGTATGTCAAGCTAAAAACAAAGGTTGGGATTCTGATTTCAATTGCATCCAATCTATATATCAGTTGGGGGGAATCTCACACTTAGCAATATTATAATATTAGATGTCTTTCAATCCATGAATACTGCTTATTTCTTTAATATAATAGTAAATATAATACAATAGTAAAACTTTATAATGTTCTCCGTAAGATCTTATAGATTTTTCAATAAATTTATTTCTAAGTACTTTTTATTTTCTGATGCTATTATAAACACAATCTTTATTAAAGTCACATTTGCAATAGACTTTTTGTACAGATTTTATATCTACCAAACTTGCTAAACTCTTATTAATTCTAAAAAACGTATCTTTGAACTCTTGGATTTTCTATATAATTATTCCACCTCTAATAACAATAACTTTTTTCCTTCTTTTCCAAGCTCATATCTTTTATTTCCTTTTGTCCTCTTACTGTACAGACTGAAATCTCCAGTACAAAATTGAATAAGTGGTAAATAGCAGGCCACCCAAAGGGGAGTGATTTCAATTTTCTATCATAACATATGATATCTGAAATAAAATTTTTAGTAGACACCCTTTAACAGGTTAAGTTTCTTTCTATTCCTACTTTATTAAGAATTATCACTCCCATGCTTTTCATAGTTAAACAGTTAATAGGTTAACTTGCATTGATTCATTTTCTAAGTCAGCAATGTATTTCAGGAATTGTCATACCACTTCAGCCACATCTCAGAAATCCTGATGTGTAGTATTTTCAGTTTTATATTTCGATCAAGACTTATTCTTTAACCAATGAGTTACTTAGTAGTTTTTCTTAATTTTCAATTCCTTAGTAATCTTTCTGTTAATCGTTTTTAATTTGAAGTGAAATTCATGCAACATTAGAGACATTCTAGTGGGTATTGAAATGGTATTTTGTTGTGGTTTTGATTTGCATTTCCCTAATGACTAATGATGTCGAGCATCTGTTCATAAGTTTATTGGCCATTTTTATATCTTTGGAGAAATGTCTATTCAAGTCCTTCACCCATTTTTAAATTAGGTTGTCTGTCTTTTGTCGCTAAGTTATATAAGAATTCTTCATATGTTCTACAGACTAGACTTCATCTGTTTTTAACTTTAACTTTAATCCACTAGTTTCTCAATTTCTGCTTTTTAAGTTCATCAGCTTATTCTTGTACTTCCAGTAATTTTTTCTTTAAATATTTCGAAGTATATATTTAGATACGTGAAGATTCATGATAATTATATGCTTTACGCAGAATATTATATCAATTGAAATATCTGCTTTTCTCCTTTTAATCATTTTTCTCTTGATTTCTACTGTGCATAATATTGGCATTAACAATATTGATAGATCCATCTGTTTTTTTCTTTTAATAGCAACCATCTCATTTAACTCTGCTCCCCCAATCTGTCTCCATGCCCCAAATCTTTACCACCCCAAATCCAAAATCTCTATGAATTTTGGAAGGAGACAAATTACCTGCACATACTTACTCAGTTGAACCAGAAGCCCTTACATGTTTTTGAAGTCTAGACTGTGATTCTTAAACTTTTCCAACTATGAGTTACTACGGGAAAGCTTTTATCTTCATAAAACCATCTACACTACCACTGCTGGAGGGGCATCGCAGGGAAACTAAATCACTCCACTGTTGACTACCCGACTCACGCTTTTTGTATAATAGAAAAGAACTGTAATGCATAAACTGGGAAAGAGGGTGGGGGAATGAGCTAGATGCCAAATCAAACTCCTTCAGTGAGAATGACCCTTTATGGGACCAGCTTTTCCCACTTGAATCTAAACCAAGAGAAAAAGAAATCCAACTGGTTAATTTTGAGAAAATGGAACAACATGGAAATCCTGTGCAATCAAGATAAAAACAGGCTTCTTATCTCACTTTGTGCTAGCCAGGAACCTAGGCTTTGTGAGTAGCTCTCTTATTTTCACTTTATATTAATCTCAGACCAAGTGGAGAGTATTCATGCAGAGTTCATGGACCAAATTTTGATAATCAGTGGACTACATGCACCAAAAAACACTGACTTACAGTAGATGGTCAATAAATAATTGATAAATAGTCATATTCGCTTACTTCTGAATATCTCCAGTGTTTGTTTGTTTGTTCTTACTTTTCTTTTGCGACTTGATCGTGACTGGATCAGATTTTCTGGAATTCAAGGGAGATGCCAATATACTTCTCTCACAGAAATTGTTCTTCAACAACAGAAAAAGCATAAGCGACATTATTAAAAAGAATTTTATAATAAAATAAGCTATTTTTTTTTAAGATTGGCACCTGAGCTAACATCTGTTACCAATCTTTTTTTCCCCCCTTCTTCTTCTCCCCAAAGCCCCCAAGTACATAGTTTCATAATCTACTTGTGCTATGTGGGATGCTGCCTCAGCATGGCCTGATGAGTGGTGCCATGTCTGCACCCTGGATCCGAAGCAGAGCACGCAAACTGAACCACTCGGCCATGGGGCCGGCCCCTAAAATAAGCTATTAATGTGACGAATTCAGAATCCACAACAGAACTTTTCAGTAATTATGCTCACATTTAAATTCTACACACATCCTTTGAATAATACTAACCACGCAAAAATCAGTATAAAGAAGATTAAGTCCATCCAAGTTGGTCTAAACTAATGGCATTTTTACTCTACATTATAAAACACAAAGGACATGGTGGTACTAATCTCATCAGCTGAAAATTTCTGTTAATTTTTCTAAGGAATAGTTTCATATAATTATTACTACCTTAATCTACAGGGGGAAATTCAAAGAGCTGTGGATATACCTGGAATAAAAGTTAGTTTTATGTAAAAAATAACTTAATTTGGGGATTTAAGGGCATATCAATAAATATTGTGAATATTTACTTGCTGTACCAGCCTCCTAAGTTTCTTGCTGCACTACCGGAAAATTATAATTTGTAGTGGTAGACATTTGGCCTTGGACCACCAAACGTTCCCAACGGTGAACAAATGACAAGCAATACAATATATACTGGAATATATGAGGAAGCCACTTAGTTTAAATCTAATTTGGCCTGAACTTCTTTTTCCAAAAAGGCCTGACACGGCCTATTGAGCATGCACTGTACATCTGCTTTAAATATTTACAATGTCTCAAAGACAAGAATGATGCCCTTAAAGACAGGGATGTGGCTTCCCCCCATATCAGCATTTCTTTAAGGATATGCACCTCTTGCTGGAAACTAAGGATTAATTACTGACCTGCTGTGTTCATCTTGCCCACTGTTGTGCCAGCAAAATAATCCCATGACTGTTGTAAAAGGGACATTCCTGTCATATGTGATGTCTGTTCTGTACACCCCACTTCTTTGGAGTGCTTCCTTTCTTGGGGACGGAAGCCTCCAGTCTATAGTCCTCAGACCCGGCTCATAATAAACTCACCCCCATTTTGATTTACAAATTGATTATGGATTATTCACGGCAACAAGTAAACCAAAAATTCTTCTAAAATATCAATAGATCTACTCTTATAATCCCTGTGAAAATAAGAAGGATTAGAACAATAGACTTGAAAGACAGGTATAAATGACCCCAGAGTCTCCTCTTTGATATATTTTCTTTCCTATACCATTTGTTATCTTACTGGGCAATGTTCTTTATTTAACTTCCTGATTATGTACCATTTCAAAGCTATTCTACTTAAATTTAAAAAGAAAAGTGTGTATATATATATATATATATATATAAGAGCATATATACAAAAAAAGTATATATAAAAAATCTAAAATTTGGGTGTATTAACATGAATGGTAGGCCTCTCAAAAATGAAAAAAAAAAAATCCCAATTCTGGATATACTTCATTGGTAAGTAAATTTTAAGATATTTGTTGTTTGAAAGCAGAGGAATTATTTTTAGAGGCTCTCAAACCTGAAAGCACATCAGACTGCCCTAGATCCCTCTGGGGATGGGAAGCCCTAAATCATACGCCCAGAGATTCTAATTCAGTAGTTTGGGAACAGGTATGGGAGTTTGTATTTAAAAAGAACCCCAGGTGATTCTGCCAGGTTCTTTCAAATCACTGGGTCTCACTGTATCCTTTGGTCTTAAAGTATGTGTTTTATCATCCCTTCTTTCAGTCATTTTCCCTTAGGCAGTAACTTAACTACAGCAAGATAATAAAAGCCAGGTTTAATACACTACTTAAGAATTTAAAGTGTTTCCCTTTCAAACAGTGATTTGCATCCATACAATGGAATATTATCCGACTCTTAAAAAGAATTAGACTATATGTAGTAATATGAAAAATCTCTAATATATATCAAGTGAAAAAAGGCAAGGAAAAAAACAAGTATGATTGATACATCCTTTTTAGGTGAACAAGAAAAAAGTTATTAAAAAACTGTTAATAGTGCTAATCTTTGAGGACTGGGAGAGGAGAGGTGGGAGGGGGAAAAGGAAACCTTCATTTTTCACGGAATAGTTTTTCTACATAAGCTGAATTTACTAACAACATACAAAAGAAGTTTTGAAAGTATACCTGGATTAGAGCAAATATGTAACAATAGGCAAAGAAATGTAATAATACACAAAAAAAAGCTTTGTTTTGTTTTAAGTAAAGCAAAAACATGACAGAAATCACTGCTAGTTATGGTGAACCCTTCTTCAGATCTTTGAAAACCACATAGTCAAAGCAATAGGAATGTTAATACTTCAAAGTCCTCTCCTAAAACTTACAATATTAATGCTTAGCATTCTTGCCAGTTCTTCATCATTTTTCAGCTGTTCTGCCATCTCTCTTTGCCTTTTTTCTGCCTGTCTTTTTTCCTCTTCTTCCTCCTCTGCCAATAATCTCTGTATGTATTCTTCACTGGCTTTGTTCTCTTCTTCCTCATTGGCTCGTCGCTCTGCCTCCACCTTAAAAATGATAAGGAACAATCCTTCTCTGAACTTTTTTAGTATACCTGCAATATTTCTTAATAAGAATAATTAAAAGTAAAAAAAGACAAATTGCCAGGAATGAAAATATCTCAAATAAAGTGCAAATCTAGAGAGGCACATTCCTGCAGAATAGTTCAAGAAGCCTCTTTCCGGAAGCCTTCCCCAGTTAGCCCAACGAAAGCTTAATTAAACCCTAACCCTCCTCTTCTCAGGCCTTATCACATTTTCTACTACACTGTTACATTGGTGCAAATGTTTCTAGGTAATCCTTTTCCTCAGTTAACAGAATGCCACGTTGCTGACTAGCTTAGGCCTAGGTTTCTGAGCCCAATCCTAGCACAGGGGACGGAATGATAGAAACTGACTTAGACTAATCAGGGCCTATCCCTGAAGCCGGGATGAGTCCCCAAACACGGTGGGCGGGAATGCAGTGGCTGCCGAAGAAACCACCGCAGTGGTCACTGCATGATTTATAGAAGAGAAAACAGGCACAGAAAAGCAGGTGACTTCCTTAGACAAGGAAGTGATAGAATGGAGACTCAAACTCTGATTCTAGGACCTAAGGCCATGCTTGTGCTCACTTAAACTATACTTCCTGAAAGAAATAGTATAAGAACCACTTTAGAAATCCAAAGGATTTGACACAAGAATAACTCCTTGATCCAATTTGAGTGAAAGAGTCATGAGGGAAAGTTTGCTAAAGAACTTCTAAGTTGTCTTGCTCTTAAAGTACAGCCGCAGGAAGAGACTGCTGCTTCTTCCGCTGCATGTTGCTGTACACACATCTGAGTTTCAGAACTGTGCAGCCATCTTGCTAGTGGCCTGAGGATAAAGCCAGCTGACAGAAGTTAGTAAAGATCTGGAGCTAGAACTCTGGATGACACCCACCCTGAAGGCCCTGCTACCTCTGGACTTCCAGTTCAATTACAATTTTCTTACTGTTTAAGGTAGTTTGAGTTTTCTTTCATTTTTAGTCAGAAGCATCCTGTTAGAGTGTGTTCTCACTGCAATGTTGTAAGGATTAAGTTATTCCTTTAAAACCACTACTTAAGACACTGCTTAGACAATACAGTGACAATTAACTATCATAATTATTATTTATTAGTTCTTCAGACCTGCATGGTCCAATACAGTAGCCACTTGCTACATGTGGCTATTGAGCACTTGAAATGTGACTAGTCTAAATGGATATTTTTTTTCCTTTTTTAAGATTGGCACCTGAGCCTACATCTGTTGCCAATTTTTTTTATTCCTCTTCTTCTCCCCAAAGTCCCCCAGTATACAGTTCTATATTCTAGCTGTAGGTCCTTCTAGTTGTGCTATGTGGGACCTCGCCTCAGCATGGCTTAATGAGCGGTGCTAGGTCCACACCTAGGATTCGAACCGGCGAAATCCTGGGCCACTGAAGCAGAGCGTGTGAACTTAACCACTGGGCCACAGGGCCAGCCCCCAAATTGGTATGTATTTTAAGTGCAAAATATACAAAAGAGTTTGAAGGCTAACTAAGCAAAAATAATGTAAAATCTCTCATGATTTTTATATATGACTTTATATAATTAAGACCAAATTATATAATGATATATAACTACATATTTAACATATAATTATATTATATAACTACTTTCTATACTGATTACATAAAATATTTTAGATATATTGGGTTAAATAAAATATAACAGTAAAATTAATTTCATCTTTTCTTTCTAAAAAATGTGGCTACTAGAAAAATTTAAATTATATATGGGCTCACACTGTCTTTCTACTGGCCAACAGTGCTCTACACTAAGCAGGAGGGTAGGAATCTCCCAGTACTAGAGAAGTTCAAAGGCGTCACTGTAAGCACTACTTCCTCTTTTCCTATTTAAGTACTCCACAATTAGCCTTTTATGCTCTCCTCATCTAAACCGATTGTGTGTGTCCTCCAGATTCCTATGTGGAAGCCCTAATCCCCAGTGTGATGGTATTTGGAGGTGGGGCCTTTGCGAGGTAACTCCCACACGAGAGTGGAATCCTCATGAAAGGGATTATGCAGTACCCTTATAAGGGACAAAGAGAGATGATCTCTCTCTCTGTCTCTCTCTGCCATGTGAGGATGCAGCAAGAAGGCAGCTGTCTACAAGCGAGGAAGCAGGCCCTCACCCAACATCAGATATGCTAGCACCTTGATCTTGGACTTTGTAGCCTTCAGAACTGTGAGAAATAAAACTGCTGTTTAAGCCTCCAGTCTATGGTATTTTTGTTACAGCAGACTAAGACACCCATAATTTTCCATCCTCTAAGCTCAAAGCTTCAGGGAAATGAAAAAAATCTCATATGCTTAGGGATTACTATCATATAAGAGCACCAATTATGGATAAATAAAGCTAGTTTGTAACTATTTTGAACGCATGTAAAAAACAGAACCTTTATAAAGAACATTAAAATTATTTACATTTCAATATATACTATTTATATAAGCACATAAAACTATATGTAAAACCTGAAACTGAAAACACAGCAGAGAATTTTTCCAAGAAGGAATAACTATTTAGTTCCTACCTTGCTTATCTCCTCTTCATATTCTCTTCTTAATTCCCCAGGTTTACTTAGCAGACGAACTGGCTGATAGTCATCAACTGTTTCAGATCAACAAAGAAAAAATATTACAGGCAACACAAAATTTTACGGCTAGCTTTCATCTCCCATTAAAACTCTATTAATAAAAAATGCAAAATCAAAATAAAGTGTACAATTATTAACAGCCACAGCCAGATTTTCTTTATGAAATTCCATTTTAAAAGAAAAACCAGAGGTTTTTGGTTCAAAATGACACACGAATACATATACTTAACTCTTTCTCTAGAAGCCATTAAAAATAACAATAAAGGAATTAAAAATAAGTAATCCTACAACGGCAAAGAGATTAAAGGAAGGGTCAATCAGTAAACAAGAAACTAACATATTTCTAGAAAATGGGAAGCCAGTGTAAGAGAGGTGATTGATGCAACAGAACGAAGGAACACATAACCCTTGGAAGGGAAAGCTACAGCTGAGGTGGGAGGGGGTCTGCCCAACATACCTGAAGAGCAGCTCAGGCTCAGAAACGCAAGGCACGACACAGTTCAGAGAGATTAAGTGTGGAATGGGGAATTCAAAGTTTATAAACTGTTAAATCAGAATACTTGGCTGGTAGGCATTTCTTCCCGGATATTTGTGTAAGTGCCCACTCCAAGGCGATTTTTTTAAAAGACACTGAATTGTCTGGAGAGAGCCAGTGAGGCTAACGTAAGAGGTGGTGACCCAGAGCAAAGCCCTCTGAAATCTGGCAGTTAGGAGTGGAAAAGCATAATGGCCAGGTTTCCATCTGTTTAACCTCAAACAACGTCCGCCAGGCATCACTGCCTATATATGTACACAGAGCTTTTTTCTAGGGCCTCATTTTTAAATATGAAAGCAAAACCAAGGATCACCAGACATTTGTAATAAACCCACAAGATTAAAGAGAAACATTAAGCTATACAAAAGGGGGGTAAAAAAATCACTCTGGCGTTTATCCAGAAAAAGGGGCAGCTGTTACTCTGGGTGACTGCTGCCATCACCGAAACTCAGGTCCACCATTGCCGTATGTTCTGTTTTTTCAAGACAATCCAGAAATTCATATTTTAATGTGAAATCTCCCAATTTGAAATGTTGGCACTGAATGGATCACAGAAAACATGTCTGCAGGCTTTAAACAGCCTGCATGTGAACAGTTTGCAAATTCTGCAATAGAAGAACTAAAAACAGTGATTTACAACTCCATAACAAGTAGGGGTGAAGTAGGCTAAAGTCTTATTTATTTGAGCCATTAAGCATGAGCCACTTATTTTAGCCATTTGAGACAATACAGTGGAAAACACAGGTGAGAGAAGTATAAGGCTCCTAAAAAGACAGGAGGGGCGAGAAACAAAGCCCAGATAGATGGAAGGGACAGCACTTCTAATAAAGGAGGATACAGACTATGTGCAGAGATGCAGTGCAATATCAGATGTGATAGCCTGGGGGTGGCAAACTTTTTCTGTAAAGAGCAAGAAGATAAATATTTTCTGTTTTGTAGGTTATGCAGTCTCTGTCACAGTTACTCAACTGCTATTGCGGCACAAAAGCAGTCACAGACATAGACAAATGAGGGTAGTACCTGGGTTCCAATGAAAGCTCATTTACAGAAAAAGACACGGGCCAAATGTGGCCTGTGGACCACAGTCTGCTGGCCCCTGGCTTAAAAGATCCCTAATTATTAAAGCACTGACACAGCTATCAAAAACAGACAGTTAAGAAATAAAAACCCCAAATAGCTCTGGAAAATAAGCATATGATTAGGGAAACAGTACACAATAAGGATGTATCATTCACCAAGCAATGCGGTTATAACTGGCAATCCCTGGGGTAAGAAGGTTAAGATGCCTACTTCATACAGTACTCAAATTCCAGGTGAACTAAAGAAAATTTAATAGAAAGAAATAAACCATAAATGACTAAGAAGAAAATACAAGAAATAAATGTAAAATCTTAAGTTAGGGTAGATGTCCTGAATAACTGAAGACATTCCAAAACAATAAAAACTTCTATATGATGAGAAACATCAAAAAGTTAAAAACAACAAACTGGGAGAAGTTATTTGCAAATACATAAATAAGGAGAGAATTAAGCTTCAGAGTATAACAAGAACTTCTACAGATCACTTAAAAAAACTAGAATAATGGGCAAAGGAAAGAAACATGCAATTCACATAAGATGCTTAACTACTTTATAGTAAGCAAAGAACTGTAATTTTGTTAAACATGGAATTTCTGAGATGTTTAGTTTACTTATTTGTACTAAAGGTAAAATTTAAACTAATATCAGTAATTTCTCCAACCACAGACACAACAAATTAAAATCATCTTAATAGGCCTCCAACATCTTGTCACCCAGGGAAGTCCCTACAACATTTTCCATGTCTAGGAATGCTCTGTTTTTAAGTTGTGCTTGCTTACAGGAACCAAGGCAGAACAATGCCAGGTGGCCAAATGGCAGAACCAGTCCAAACCAGAAGGTCCAAGATGGCAATGGGCTTCCATGAGCAAAAAGAAATGTGTGCAAAAGGTGCCATGTGCAAGAAGGGAAGATCTGCGCATGCCCCAAAAGCCTCCCCACAAGCAATGATGTGGAGACCCCTCCCACTTCACATCCCATAAGAACTCTGCTCACCTTCCCTTGGAGAGAAGGGGGTTTTAGAGCATGAGCTCTGTCCCCTCCATTCATTGATCAACGAATAAGGTTTCTGCTCTGCTATTCCAAACCCATTCTATTGGTGTGGGCAGCTCTGGGCAAAAGGACCCACTGTGGGCCACCAGTCCCTTGGGGCTCGGTGACAATCTAGATGCAGCAATTATTTGCTATTTCTTAAACAATTTCTAAGTGTATGAGAAATCTGAAAATATCAGTTTTGTAGACTAAAAGTGATAGTCAATTTTACACACTATTAAGACGGTGAATTTCTGTCATCTGTTGGAAACAACTCTCAACACTGCTCAGTTTTGGTTTAACGCTAAAACTTCTGTTGTAACCCACTGAAATTCAATGTTCCCACTGTACTTAATATTGCTTTCTTACGGTGAATTTTCTTCCTGCGCAGCTAGGATTCATTAAAGAAAATTTATCCTCATACTTTTTACTTTATTCTGAAGGAAAACCCAATTTAATTAAAGAACTGAATGTCCAATATTGGACCAAAAATAAAAATAAATAATAAAACCTAACTTTAACAATTAAGCTATGTACAAAATTATTCTTCCATCCCTCAACTTGACTCTGCTTGCATCATCACGGAAATAAACCATTTTCTTTTTCTAATTAAATTTGCTCACCTCTTATTTTTTTATTTTGAAAAGTTTTAAACCACATAAAAGTTGCAAAAATATTATGATGAACCCCCATTTACCTTTAATTTAGATGTGCCAAGTGTTAAATTGTCACAGTTATGTCTCTCTAGTGTGTGTGTACATTTAAATGTATATATATTTTCTGAACCATTTGAGAGTAAACTGCATAGATCGTAATCCTTCATCAAATACTTAAGCATCTACCTCCTAAGGTAATGTTCTTATCCTTATAACAACACAATAATCTAATTCAAGAAAATTAACTTTGATACAAAACTAGTTATGTAATAAAAATACAGACCATATGCAAATTTCACCAATTATCCCAATAATGTCTTTTATAACACTTTTCCTAATCCAAGATCACACACTGCATTTAGTTGCCATTCTCTTTTAATCTTTCTTAATCTAGAACAGTTCTTCAGCCTTTGCCTTCACAACAGTGACATTTTTGAAGTATGGACCATGTTTTGCAGGTCTCTCAATTTGGGTTTTTGCTTTCCCACAATTAGATTCAGATTATGCCTTATACATATCATATCAGGAGGCATATGACATCAGTTTGTTCCAATGATGATAACTTTGATCACTTGATTGCAGTGAACATTGGCCAGATTTCTAAACTGTATCCTTTCCACTTTTGTAATTAATAAGTAGTCTGGATACTTTGAGAGTGTATGAATCTTCTGTTCCACCACAAAATTTCAGGCAGGCGTTTTGCTATCTATTAGTGATTCTTGCTTGCATCAATTATTACACTGATAATTGCAAAATGGTAAGGAAATTTAGACAGTCTAGGGTTGATTGTTCCCTTCTGTAGGATTATTTTTTGAGAAGTTCAAATGTAGAACTCAAAGACTACCTCCCTCCATCACATTAATCCATTTTCAAACACTTCATTTTTAAAAGCCATCTCACATATGATTTCTCACAATCCTCTTCTATAAATAAAGAACGATAACACAAAAGTGAATGAGCAGGTACAAGGTTAATACATAAATACAAATTATATTTTTATGAACTACCAGTGAACTGAATAAAAATTTTTAAAAATTCAAAAGCCATACAATAATTAGGAATAAATTTAACAAAAGATGTGTACAGTAGTTTTCTAGGGCTGCCACAACAAAAATATCACAGACTGAGTGGCTTAAAATAACAAACTTATTCTCAGTTCTGGAGGCTGGAAGTTCAAAATCAAGGTGTCAGCAGGACCAAGCTCCCTCTGAAACCTGTAGGGAAATCCTTCCTCGCCTCTTCCTAGCTTCCAGTGGTTTGCCGGCAATCTTTGGTGTTCCTTGGCTTGTAGATGCCTCACTCCAACCCTCTTCTTTAAATGGTGTTCTCACTGTGTGTCTTCACATCATCTTCCTTCTGTGTGTCTGTCTGTGTGTCCAAATTTCCCCTTCTTATAAAGACACCAGTCATAACAGCTTAGGGCTCACTTTCATGACCTTAACTTGATCAGCTCTGTAAAGACCCTACTTCCAAATAAGTTCACATCCTAAAGTATGAGGGGTTAGGAGTTCAACATATCTTTTTGGGGGAGACACAATTCAACACATAATAACCTGAAATACATCTTCACTGAAAAACTACAAAACATTATTAAGAGAAATTAAAGAAGACCTAAATAAAAAGAGACATACTATTTTCATGGGTGCAAGGGTTCTATATTGTTCAGATGTCAATTATACCCAAATTGATCTAGAGTCAAATGCACCCCAATCAAA